GGAGCAGTCCCCCTGAAAACGGGTCTTCCCAGCCAGCTTTGGAAACTCTAGAATCCTGCAGTGGAGCCCGTGAGTCATTGTGAACTCCGACCTKTTAGGTTGGCCCATCTTTTCTGTGGAAAGTGGCTGAAGCCAACGCAGCATCTGAGCTCAGTGCGGCCACGGTCCTCCAGGAGAACGAGGCCTGGGTCTTCACAGGCACTTTCGGGGGACATCTCGTATCTTCCCCACAAAAGACAGCGGACGATAAAACATGAAAGATGATGTTTTAAAAACTGTATTCAATGACTCACACCAAATTATGAACATTTCTAAATATATTTCATGTATCGTACATATATATATACTTTATATGTATAATTACATATCAACAAAGATTTCTTGCAGCTCTAAGCATGTAAGTAAAACAAAGCTAGACTTTGCCATATAATACCCATATATGCATATACACCAGCTGTTTGAATTAGGAATTTATTTACATCTTGCCTAGGTTATAATAAATGATTATTGTCATATTATACAAACATAACAGTAAAGATTCCTTTTAAAATACAAAGACTGAAAATGAATACATGAAAAAATTACACACATGTACAATATTTATAATTTATAAATGCAAAGTTAAGATCTCTTTAAGTTATTGCACTTGGGCATTTTACAAAGATTTTTATGTCATACATATAAAATCGTTTTTGGAAATTACTAACCCCTCAACTACAATAAGGTTGGATATTGTTAACTTGGAATTTTTTTTCCCCTTCCAAGAGATCCTAGTAAGGCTTTGGCCAGAGCTGCTGCCTGTAGGTCGTCAGCTTATCCGGGCACTGTGGTACATGGCCTGGCTGCGCTCCCATGGTCCTGGTCAGCAGGAACCTGTCACAGTGCGCTCCTAGATGCCTTGGCAAGGTGGGGGTACAGCATCTCTTTTGCGCTTATGTTTATGTAGAGAAAGTCACCTTTTCTTCTCAGAAAGAATCAAGATGCTGCATTTGTACAAATTTTGGTAACTTTCACAGTGTTTTAGGCAAGCACTTAATTTCAAACAGGTAGGAATATTGTTTAGATATTAGAAATGCCTTCTACTGAAGAATCTACTGYACTTTCAATCTGCACACTAAATGGATAGGCAGCATATACACCATACAACAGATCATATGGAAAAAATATTGCCAACTGTCATTTATGTTGGGTATTTGAGCGACAGCAGAGAATTGGGTTATCAGGGTGACCTAAGAAAAAAACAGGTGGCAACATCCATGATAGGATGATGTGTTAGGTGACCTGGAATATTAAATAATACAGTTTTGAACTAAATTTATATCAGGAATAAAAACATTTTGCTCAAACTTCTGCAAATAAATAGTGCCTCAAAGTTATTAGCTGGGCATTAAAATATACACTCTGACTTCCCGCTGTGGTCCTTTCATGACATTTTTCCGGGCCCTCAGAGCCAGGCCCAGGTATGCATGTTTCAGTTATAGCTTCTCAAACTTGAGGACAGAGCAGGCAGACTTTACAGCTCAGAATGCACTGTCTGCTGTGAGGTTGAGAGAAAAATTAGGTGACTATCATGGTGCTTCTTTGGATTTTAAATGTGTTTTTCTTAAGCAATATTAATATGTCTTTCTCTTTGTTCCATTTTCTTAATCTGGAACAAGAATTCCACTGCACTTTTTCTTTCTTGGCTAATTGTTTTTCATCACATAAAATATATCCAGTGCTTTAGGCAACCAAACTGTACAGTTTTTGGTTTGTTTATTTTTTAAAGACAACAAAAACAACATGTACTGCACTGGGCACCACTAATTTAAACTTAGTATAAATGCGTAAAAAATTGAGCAAAATGTGCATCAGGTTAATACTCACACACATGCGCTGCTAARCTTGGGGAACTGACTGTAGCATACACAGCCAACTCAAGTTGTACAGTGATTGATAAATCAACACTTGCAGTAGAAGGGATCCACTAAAGTGACTAAAAGAAGAGTCATTGAGAATTACAACCTAAATAAAATCTAAGTGTAGAAAGCAGACACATTGTAAATATATAGAGAAGTGATTTTCAAAAATCTGAATCATGCCTCTGGTACCTGCAAGCCAACCAAACCACATCAGACCCAGTGTTAGTTCTTGGAAGTTTTTTCAGTAAAGACAATCTGAGCTGTTCATTGGTTGCAGTCACCAGGGTGTATGTCAAGCCAGCCAAAGAAAGGACAGAATCTGATGAGGAGAGAATGGTCCTGGTTCACTCAACTTGATCAAATTAACCAGGGATGTGGTCCTTTCAGTGTTTTCAATTATATTTAAGGAAAAAGAAAGAAGGAAGAGGAGGAGGAGGAGGAGGAGGAGAAGAAGAAAAAGCAAACTAATGACCAGGAGAGAGGAAGTAAATAAAACTGCAGTGTTTAAAGTCAAGGCACAGGCCAAGGCATGGTGAATAATTTAGTACTGTTAGAGCTCAAACCTTGACTTTGAATTCAGAGACCAGAAACACAACATGGCAAACTAAAAACCCAGGTATCTAGGGATTTGTGTATCTCTGCATGTCCTATACAAAATTAGAAAAACAAAATTTTAAAACATGCTAAAAAAGAGGAAACCTACACTGAACAAATCTAGTTTCAGATCAGATGGACCCTGCATCCATGGCTGTGAGCAGGTGCCCCTTGGAATGCCACTGTAAGGGTCACCATGAGGAGGGGCCAAGATGGAGCCTGCTGGCTGGTGGCTCAGCGGGCTCTTTCCCCAGGTCAGTCTCTCAGACTCATCTTTGCTGTAACTAAAGCAGGGGCCTGAGATACAGGTGTCCCTGCCTTGGGAAGAGGGCCATGTTATTAGCTGTTTATACCCACTGCATTCCCTTTTAGTCTTCCTAATTAATTCATTACTAATTAATAAGATGCTTGCATTTTTGTAGGATTTTATACCACTGACAGGGGTCGATGCTTCATGTTGTTGTTGGCATACATTTGTTTCCAAGGTGATTTCTGGTTAAAAAAATGCTTACTAAGTCTGGAAAGATAATGGAATAATTGCATTACCCATTACTAATCAACATAAACAATATAAATTTCTACAAACTGGACATTCTACATTAGTTGTAGCTGCTTACTGAATTTATATCAAGGAAAATCCAGCCTACTCTAAAATATCACCTTAATTTGGCGTGAAAACCATCTGCCTGGCTTCTGATATCWCACTTTCCTTGTAAGAAAAGATCTGGGGAAAAGACCAGAAACAGTTTGTCCGCCAAACATATTTGCCAAAATGCAAAGATGCTCCTGACCATATGTTTTCCAAAACGAATTGTTAACTAAATATCAGTGCATCCTAGGCTCTTTTTAGGTCAATCTATGCTTCCTAAATCAATCTCACACATGGCAAAAGTGATGGAAACACTTGATGTTATAGCATATATTACTTTGTTCAAGCTGCACTTCTATTATGACAAGATTTCACAAGAAATGGACCCCCCCCAGCAGAGCCACACACTCTCCTTTGGAAAACTGTCCAAAGTAGAGTCATACAGTACAATACCCTTGGCCATATCAAATTAAAAGAATTTCCTGTGATCAGATCAGAAGAGCAACCTTCAAATGTAAAAGCGGCCGTGAGATTCCCCACCCAGTAGTTGTTTTCCCCATTAAGAATCAGGATTCAGCATGCCTTTAAAATCCTTTTAATTAAACAATAATCTTAAATGATAACCCCCCTCCTGCAATTTATCTTACAAATTAGATTAGATGACTCAATTCATTTATGTAATGAAAGTTGTATTTGATGGGATCATTTAATAAATTCATATGAGGAAACTTATGCAACTTTTTAGAATTTTATCCTCATTGAATAATCACACTTCGGTCAAACTTATCAAGCAACAGATATTTCTCAACACAAAAATCACTTTTTAAAGAATGAGGATGATTTTTATTTTTCATACACGTTTGCCTCTTTCTCCCTGTCTTTGCTTCTGTCTCATGTGTTATGTGAGTGCATCATATATACATCTGTGTTTGCACACATGCTACATACATGCATGTATGTGTGTGTAGATCTAGCCACAGTCTGATTCCTCTCTTTAGTTATTACATTTTACTTCCTATTACTTAAGTACAATAGCAAATGGAGCTCCATGGAAAGAAGATGGCAACTTCAGAGGCCCACAAGGAAACTGAACACATAGTGTTAATCTAAAATAACAACAGTGGTTATGTACAGTCAACTCTGCTACAACATAATAAGCCATGTTGTAGAAAAGGCTTTAATTTTGCAAACATCAAGCTCATATGAATGATGTGTATGGTGTTGAGAATGCATAAGCCTATTTTTAAAAACTTGTTTTCTAAAGTAATATTCCATGTTCCTGCCACGAGAATAGAGGATGAGCTACTTGCTATGGACTGGGTGTCACTTCCTGAAGACTCTGATTCCCTGGAGTTCAGATACCACTGTGCCGTGGGTGGGCTTAGACTCTTTAAAGCACTAGCAGGACCTGATACTGCCTGTTCTTTAATGTCTGCAGAAGGGTCCAGAGAGTGCTGTTGGACCCTTCTAGACACTAACCTGTTCAGTGGTATTAGTCTGCCAAAAACTCATACAGGAGCAACCACCCAAGTCACTGGTTCTGATGTGGATGTTTAATCTGGGAGGAGAGAACAGGACAGAGAAAAGGGATAGTGCAAGGGCACTGTGCCTCCCCATGGCTGTGCCCCCCCCCCCCCAGCACGCCTCTGAGAGGGGACTGGGCAGCGCGCAGAGAGAACAGGAGGGATGACAGCAGACTCAAGTGAGCTACGGAACATCAAAACGTCAAGGTGCCATTTGATTTTAAGAGAACTGAATGGTCTTTTAGTGAAGTAACTTTTAGAATAAACCTTCCATTTTGAATATGAGTCTAAACTTTTTCCATGACAAAGTGACAATTTCAAGGAATCATYATTAAATATTCACATTTTACATTCACACAAGACTTATTCGTTAAAAGTTTTATATGCCTTGCTTTTATTTTGTTCTTTATGCAAAGATTCAATAAATTTTCCAAGAATACAATGAGGAATTTTTTTTTAACTCTTTGACATTGTTTGAACTGAGACTTGAAGTTCTGAGGCTGACAGGGTGCACACCTACAGCTCTTCTCAAAAGGCCAGACGTCCGCTTCCCTTAGTGTGAAGCCGGCTCACCGCCCTCCACTATAGACTCGGAGCGTTGGCTTTTCCATCACTTCTGACTCTGTAATCTTCATGACACTGGTCCTGAGGCTCTGGGCTACAATTCAAGTCAACCCCAAGGAGGTCACACAAGAACATTCACAATAGGAAAGTGTAAAAACCTATTTATAACCAAGGAYGCCAAAGCAACAATGGTGTGAGAGCCAAAGTAGAATAGCACAAAAGTACCGTGTCAAACCCTCAGAGAAAGACGCCGTGGAAAGCACCCTCTGAGCAGTCTTGGTCCATTTCTTGTAAGGCCTGGGCAAATCAGCCTGCTAGAAAAGGACGGGTGGGGGCTGGGGAGTCCTGGCCAGCTGACTTCTCAACACGAGCCCTGCTGGCTGCACTCTGGCTGGGTGTGTGTGCTGAGACCGTGGGAAGTCGTCTGCTTGCACACACATGCTTGACGTCAGCTTCTCCAAGGTTTCCACCCCAGCTACCAGGTGTAGGTTTCCCCCCCTCAAAAATAAAAGGAAAAAAGTCAAAGAAGCAAGATGAGACTCGCTGGTGGGACGACTGGCCCTGCTGTCAGCCATCAGTCTTCACGGGTGGCTTCTCAGAGGTCTCTGGGGCCGCTGGCGAGGCCGAGATCCACTGGGCACTCTCCTCTCCTCGGATCACCTTCTCCCACTGACTGAGGTTATCCCTGGGGGCAGAAGACAGAGGTGACGTTGAAAAGAGAATTTCTGCATTCGTCTCCAAAGCTGACCAAACAGCCCTGTGGCCTGACTGGGCACAAGGCTTCATGGCCCCTGGGGTGAGCTGGTTGGGCTGCACCGGCCATGTCTCCACAGAGAAGGCCTGGGAACCACAGAGCACTGGGCACCTCACCCCCACAAGCTCCAGTCTCAAAGACAAAGCCATTTAAGGGTCAGGAAGTGCCATTTCTTAAGTATGGAGGGACTGACCTTCAAGGGAGTGAGCCCTTGAGGTGCCTGCTGGGCTGTGCAGGATGAGGAAAGGCGGGGATGGCAGTGCAGGAGGCCACTGGGCTGTGGCAGAGCAGGACCCAGCCGTTCACACTGCAGGCGGGACACAGGACTCCCTCTGGAGGCCTGGAGACACTCCTCACCATGCTTCAGATCTCATTCTGAATACTGTGTCACACACAAAATGAAACCGCCTGGCACAAACTCTTAATTGTCTTGCTACTGGAAAGCCCCACTTGTGATCTGGTGCTTCCCGTCTGCAGTGCAGGCTGCTCCTCCTGCAGCCCTCTGGTCTCTCTGAAGCCTTCAGTTTGAATGTCACAGGCAGGTCAGCCTGTAACCGTGGGATGGCAACTGCTGCAGGACCACCAGGGTGCTCTGCATGGCTAATCCCACAGAACTCCTGGAACACTCCCATCTGGACTTCGCTTTCTGTTATGCAAAGTCAAAATCAGAAGGGAACTTTGACACTGGCAAACAAAACTCATACAAGGCACAATAAAAACTCTTTCCCCAATTTTCTTTTGTTGACATAAGACACCTTCAGACAAAAGGGCTTCCTAAAATATGGCCTGAAGAGTGCTACACTTCTAATTTCCACACCATAACATGAAATAGCATTTTCCCAGACTCAAGGTTTCCTGGTGCATTGGAAAAAGGAAGACGCTACATTTGGCATGTTTCCTTGAATACCGACGACACATGCTGAATTTTTTAATTCTAAGATTACAGCGGCCTTAAAGAGATTATGTGGTTCAGTCATGTCTGCTGCAGAAGAAGGTGTCAGAGCCACCATGATGCTGTGTCCTGCATTCAGAGCTGCCCACGGAAAGCAACTCCACCACCCGCGGCCAGGGCCACAGCAGCCATGCACTCCTCCCACTTCTAAATATGTAGCACGAAACAGGGAATTCTAAGCTACATGCTGGAGTTAGATTGATGCTCCAATTTCTCCTCAGTGCGCCTGACTTCCGCAACGGGATCCCACCAGGAGAGTCCAGGTCACATGCCAGCCTCCCATCACGGCCGAGCCCTGTGCACCAATCACAGCTCAGGCTCCGAAATCTCCCCCGGAGGAGCAAGGAAGGAGAGACCCTCTCTCACATAGGAAAACCATCATTATTTTATGCTGCTGGGTAGGCTTTGCCTGTTGTCCTTAAAAAATAATCCATAAAGTAAATCTCAACAGCAGAGAAGGGAGAGCCTGTCCTGGTTCTGGTTCTGTGTGCAGTGGTCGACCGCGTGTCAGTCCTCGTCCTCCCACGGTGCGTCCGTGCCCATGCCCGTGCCCATGCTGGCTGTGGTACATAGTCAGGAACACCAGGGGGCACCTACTCAAGGCTTTCCTCAGAGGAACTTCTTTTAAAAGTTAATTAAAAATATTCTTAAAATTTTAATGTTCCTAACTGAATTGAATCCTCAGGAAAAGAGTGAAGGAAGGACAGAGAGACTGAAGCTAGAACAAATAAGAGATGGCTTAAATTTCTTTTTGGAAGAAAAAAAAATACTTAAAGAGGAAGGGGCTCCCCATTCAAGTTTCCTCTTTTTCCATTTAAATCATTAACTATGACTTAAGATAAGCCTCTTTCCTAATAAACATCCATGAACAGAGATTACCATTACCGTTGGGACTTTTAAAATAAAAACAGGATTGTGTGGGAAGCTCTGCAGGGTTACAAACACCTCCTGCTCCTTCCTGGATGATTCTGTGAGTGAAGTTTTCATATATGCTCATGTGGCACATGTAAGGAACTATGGTGGCTGTRAGATGAGCTTGGGCATCTCCTGCTGCCACACCTGGGCCTTCCTGTGGCATGTGACCTAGTCTCCCATGTCCAGGGAGGAGCCCCCATCAGCAGAGGCCATTTACAGGGCTAAGCAGAGTGTGTTCTCCCGGTGCCCAGCCAGGCAGCACAGGTGCAAGGGGGCACTGCCTCCTGAGCAGAAGGGTCTCCACAGCTGACCCTGACTCCGTCAGCAGGCCTGCTCCCCACTCGGTCCTGTCTGAGGTGTGGGATGAACTGCCTGACACCAGGTGGTGTCTAAGCTTCACCTCTGATGGGCGCTGAGCTGCAGGGGAGAAGGAGCTGGGAAGCTGGCTAGCCAGGACCCCCAAGACACTAAAAGAGGGAAACTTGCTACCTAGGCAAACCTAGAGCCCCTCAACTCATATTTGCTGTAAACTGTAGATAAGACACATTCATAAGTTGATGGAATGAAAAGTCCTACATGGAGTCTTGGTTGTTACTTGCTCTGGATTTCTCTTGTCTTCTAGATCACATTACAGCTTGAACCACTGTACGTACCTGCATGCTTTCAGCAGAGGCTCGGTTGGGGGGAGGATCTGGGTCAGCGTGGTGTAGCAGGGAATGGCCACAGCATTGTAGAACCCAAGCTGCCTCCGTGCAAAGTCATGGACAAGAAACAGAACTGCCCATTAGTGATCTAGTCGACCTCAATTTCTGTTCTCAAGTCTAATAACTATAAAATAAATCTTCTAGTTGTGCTGCATGTGATATTTGGGCTCAACGACTACTACTGCTGAATGCAGTTTAAAATGCATTAAAATACATCCTAGAAATAAAACAAATAAGAAAAAAACATTACAAAAGTCTATATCCACTGAGATCTAAAACCCAAGTTGAGCTACAGGAGATCTACTGATATGAGTTAGGCTGTTGCTGTTGCTGGTTAAGCTCAGTACTCCAATGCAGGCATTTCAGAGCTAAGTCTGTTGCTCTACAGGTCTGACTTGCATCCAGCCCGATGTTCAGGTGTCACCGAAGTGTCCCCATCTACTGTGCACTATCCTTGGAGTGGGCACCTGATGGCCTTCTCCTTTTATTTTTTACCTGTGATAAACGATATTTACTGTATCATAGCTCTCTGGTGTTATTATTCTCTCAAAATGCTCGATTTAATAGTTCTAATTTCCATGGTAAAAATATTTTAAAGAACACTTTATTAGGAATTTTAAATCACTTGCTAATAGATAATACTGCGTCAGACTGGAGGCAAGATGTAAAAGATCCTGAGACTGGTGGCAGAGAAGGCAGGCAGTCCAGCCACCAAGACCCGCCCAGGATGGGCTAGCTCTGCTCAYCCCCAGCCCACGACTGCCCAAGTGCAGCAGGACTCAGGGCAGGTTCAGGGGGAATCCACAGGCCACAGTTTACCAATTTCTTTAAAAAACTGAGCATCAAGGACATGCATCAAAGGACAGGGGAGAACAGAGTCCCCCGCAGTGCCTCTCTGCCTTCTCCTTGGCATGGTTCCTGTCAGGGCCATCTTCCTAGGACAGTGCCTGTGCAGCTTCCTTCTTAACTCCAGACCTCATGCAGAGATCCCCTGATTCTAATATTTAGCAGGTGTCATGAAGTAGAAAGTCCCAAGAAAGAGAGTAATTATTGGAAAGTAGAGAATTGCATTATTATGACAAAGAATATGTTCATTGTACTCAATAACTGGAGAGTAGCATAGTTGATAGACATTAGCTGATCACAGAGATATTTTATCACACTATAAAAGGACTTAAAGTTTTGGCCCAAAGCAAGCAATTCTAAAACAAACTATTCTCCTACTCAAAACACAAAAACAGAACCTAAACCCTGAGTGCATCAGGGAAAAATTTTCAGCCCTCCTATATATTCTATTACGATAACTGTTTAAACATTTGGAAAGGAAAATTCATTAAGATTCTTTTCTTAAACTATGTAACAAGACAAATGCCAAAAGAATTAATAATCAGACGTAAAGTGATGAAACAAAAAAGAAATAACTGGAGAAAATACAGGAGCGGGTCTAGGAAATGTCAGGGTGGGAAAGAACTTCAAAATACAACATAAAAAGCAAACCCCAGAAAGAAACAATGAGTTGCTGTAACCCCAAATAACTCCATGAGCAGGGATACCAGGCAATCCTGTTTGTGTGTGTGTGTTTGTGTAGCATGTACAAGACGTATGTCAGGTGCACTGTCATGTAAGAAGGAAAAAAATGAACCACCCAAGGCAATTGCCAGGAGTAAGCCACTCAACTTCCCTGTCAGGCCAACCCTCTCTGAGCCGTGGACTTGCCCACATTAAATTTAAAAAGAGCAGGAACATAGAGAACCTGTCTAGAACCACCATACCGGGAGGATCTGACATGCTTCTAAGCAAATTCTATAAGTTTTTGTCCGTAACTTTCTTCCTTATTGTGTCATTAGAAGATTGGTAGTTCAAGCTGGTCTCATAACTGAGAAAAACATCACATACACACATGTACCCCATTGCAAAAGCTCTCTTAGAATATTAAAAAATCAACATGGATTACAATGAGTCCTGGAAAGAGAATCATTAAAGTCAATTTTTGTTAAGAAAAAACTTTATAAAATACTAAGCACTAGGCTGAAGTTGTGGCTCAGTGGTAGAGCACTCGCCTGGCACTGGGTTTGACCCTCAGCACCACATAAAAGTAAATAAAAATAAAGGTATTGTGTCCATCTACAACTAAAAAACATAAAAAATACTAAGCATTATTTTTGAGGAAAAAAYGGACCTGACACAAAATCCATAATGCTACTCTCAAAAAACAAAACAACACAACAAAAACTTAGTTCAGCCAATGACAGAGTGTGTTAACAATTCCAAGTCCTCCATCCCTGGGTTTCAGGTCAGAAGAATCTGTTGACGGCAATGCCATCTGCAGAGAGCTGGGCTTCCTAAGCTCCGTCTTCTGCCACCAAGCTGGGGTAAGCAAGGTGGTCTCCAGCAGCTCTAGTGTGTCCAGGAGCATGTCCTCCTTCCTGCCCACAGGTAGCCACACCCTCCAGACTCCCCACTTTGGTTTGCAGGGTCAGAGCTGGCCCTGCATCCTCGGTGGGAACACCAACTTTTGGATTCTACTTTTCCATCCCTCAAGTAAGATTCCTAAGAGTGTGAAAGCTTGTGCAGGTTCAGTYGAGTGGATGGTGGTTCAAGGGTATAGTTCTTCTCCCAGTTCTCAGTCCCTGAAGGATAGATCCTTGACTTTCYTCATCAGTCACTAGACCTGGGATGACCCACTTGTCCCTCTACTCCTCGAGGTGTTACAGCTTTCTCTTCGTGAATGATTTTACACCCACATGAACAACAAGTGGACTCCCCCAACTCATACCTGCCCCTGAGGGACTTCATCCTTCTTGTCTCTGTCCATCATAGGGATTGGCTGTATTCCCAATTTCTTCATTTCATCGCCCTAAAATAAAGCGGAGGGAGAAATTATTCTCTTTCAATTTTMAAATAATTATAAAATGTTGGTATTAACAAGTTATGCCCTTTATTATTTTTTTTTCAAAAAATATTGCTGGATACTGCCTTGAGAAGAAGTACTGGGGACTGAAATGGAGCAAATTATATTTCATGCATGTGTAATGATGTCAAAATGAACCCCATCATTATGTATAACTACAGTGCATTAATAAAAATATTTTTTAAATAAATGTGTCARAACAATTAAAAGCCTAAAGGCATCACTATTTGGCCTTTATTCAGATGCTCTCCTGCACAGAGTCTCAGTCCTCTCTTGGCCTTCCTTGTGCATCAGTTAGTGGGAGTTACAGCAGGGGAGAAATAGTGAGAGTGGGGAGGAGTAGTAAACCAGGGACAGAACGGAACGGGCGGGGTAARCTGGGCTGTGGAGAGGACGACTCAGCAACAGTCTGAGGACGTTAGGAAGGGACACCAAAGCATCACCTAGTTTATAATTATGGTAAAATCTGTGTAAAGATTTCTCACATTACAGGCTCTGGGCTAATTTGTAAGCATTATTTCATGTAATCCTCATGAAACAACATGAGATGGATGTATTATCTTCATCTTATAGATTTAAAAAATTATCTTGCTTTTTATTTGCTAAAACTTGTTAAAATCTTCTTCCTTAACATTTCCTGAGTTTCTCCTACTCCCCACTCTTCCCTCCCATTCCTTTAACAGTTCAGTGGTGTTAACTAGGCTTGCTTTCGGAATCTCGAGCATGGCCTGGGTCTTCCAAGGTTTGCTGAGGTAGCCCTGCAGTACCGGAGAGCAGCAGGCCCTGAGCACTCTGCCTGCGGCCAGGCGCTGTGCTGGAGAGCCACTCCGGCTGGCTGGCGTCACTTTAGTGTTAACATCAGTGGTTCCAAACCTTCCTCTGTACCATCCTAGGTGAGTGAAACCCATTAAGTTCTTTGATCTCAAGAATTCTAAAAGTAGTATAAGTAAACAGATTTTTAAAGAAACACCGATTTGAATATTTCTTAAAGCAAGGACAAATGCCCAAAAGGAAAGCAACCATGTGCTGTGGACCAGGTCTGTAAGGAGGGCTTCCCAGGGACAGAGGGCACTGGCTCTGCTCCATGCTGCCGAGTTGACTTCCGTCACAACAGCTGCAGAGAATGTGAAGAAGGTGCTGACATAATCAGAATTATCATCAACCAGCTGCCTGGGGCCACATACTAAGGGCCAAGCAGGCTTTAATTAAATCCCAAGCCAGGTGGCTGAAGACCAGGCTCTCTGATCACTGTGATTCAGATTCTGCAAGGAAGCTGATGGGAAGGGGAAGAGGCCAGGCGTGCTCTGGTGGTGGCTGTAGCAGGAGTGGGAGGTGGGGCTGGAAGGAGAACTGTGACCCTAGGTGTGCAGATCAGACCTAAGGTAACTGTGTTCCTGCCTCTTCCACAGACTACGAGGGAAGTCCTTGAAGGCTGTGCCTAGGAGCACGCTGGGTGTTTCATCTTACTAGTGGACTCAATATTATCAATGAGCTGGATAAAGATAAAGGTCGCCTTGCATTTCTGACACTTGTTGATTTACATTTTAGAACACAAACATAGTTGGTTAAATACGAAATATATTTAGGTAAAATTATGTGCAAAACTAAGTGGTATTTATAGAAAGTACAAGTATTCTGGGTTACACATGCAATTTAAGCTGGCTGTGATAGTAGTAAGCTAAACATTACAGTTCAGACAAGAACATCTAAAACAATCTCCTTAAATGAGTCTGACAGTAACTAGGTTCTGATACACACACAATAAAGCAAAGAAAGGAAGTCCTGCAAAAGCACACACGCACAAGGCGTAAAGTAGTTGGGAAAAGCAATGGCAGGCACACAATCAACTCGGCTGTGGGCCTCAGGCAAGGACATTCCSTGGCGTTCCACTGTGAAACAGTTCAGCATTATAATCGTTTCTAGTCAACCTGTGAGTGATTTTTAATTTTACATTTTGTTAATTCTCCTGCCTACAAGAGATATGTGGCTGAATCCTCAACCACACAACTCTTTGCTCTCCAAATTGACTTTTACATCTCTACTCCAAAAATGATCCAAAGAATTTATCACTCTTTTTCATAAAGTAACTTTTGAACATGCAGACACATAGGTATTTGTGATTCATTTGAACAAGAGAATTGTATTTACTTTTCTTTCAGAAAACAAATTAAGGAATACAATGCACATTATTGATAATTTAAATAATTCAGAGAAACATGCTAACAAAAGTCATGTATGTGTTTGTTTCAGGAAGATCATGAACTAAATTGCACACACTCCACAGAACTCACAATGTGTACATGTCGTGCCCACTGGCATAGCCACGCCTTCTCGTGTGTCTGGGGGCACCATGATTATTCTATTTCTCCCCACAGGTAAATACAGCCCATGTGTTATGGGTTCCTCTTTGTCTACTGCCTCAATTAGATGTCCTGTAATGTTTATTGAATGAACATAAGATCTGCTATTAAGTAAGGGAAATTCCTACATGATTTCTCAGAAATAAATTTCTATATGCTTTCAGTTGAGATTAGAGAATTTACACACACTTTCAAGGAAGATGTAATAGAATCATGATTCTCATTTCATGTGCATAATTCCTAAATCCTTCTTCATTTTTGACTGATTACATTGTTCTGAAATAACCAGAAACATGAGCAATTAYGATAATAAACAAATTATCCACACATTAAATTTTTCCTCAAATATTTTTCCATTTCTTGACATTATCTATGTTAATATAAGAATCAAGGACATACCTCAGCCCAGAATTCTGCATATATATCATTTGCTGTCAATTTTGTAACTGGCCACAGTTTTGTCACAGAGCAAAGATCACAGGCAGTCATCATCAAACCAATTACACGGTCTCTAGAACACAATACAACACTGGTCAGCACAGCACTGGCACATTTGTAGTAAGGACCAGAGAGACTTGTGCGTTTACAGGAGAGGGGTATTCTTCATGATAGGAGAAAAGTAGCATTAAAAAGCAGACACAAGGAACAAGCAGGACAGTCAAATAGCACTGAGGAACAGTGTCTTGAATGGTGAGAACAATAATCCCTATCCCTAGTTCCACAAGGTGTGCATTGTACCTTCCTGTTGCCTCAACATTACTGATGAAACCATATGTCACATGAGCTATGCTCATTTATCTTCCCATTCCTTGGGACACTCACATGGCTACACACCAGGTTTCATGTTCATGGAAGTTTGGAAATTTAGCACGGTTAGAAACCTTGAGAGAGAATCTCTCCCAACACTTGGATTTGCAAAAGGAAAGTCTGGTATGCACAGAAGTGGTGATGGGCAGCTCAGGACAAGGCCAGAAAGGACCCGAGGTGCAGGACTCTCTCTGACTACATGCGGAGAGTGATGGGTCACCTGCTCTTGAGCTTTGCCTTCTGCTTTCCAAGTGTCCCTCCCAATGTCTCCCCTCTCACATCAAATGAGCTTTCCTCTCAGCTGCTTGGCATTCACACCCATGTGCTCCACACCTGCCTTTCTAATTCTCTAAAAATGGCTCATCGTTTCCTTTGAAGAAAAATGATTGAGTAAAATTCAACAAATATATTCCCTATAATCTAACTRGAATGAAGTCTATACTTAAAAGGAGAACCAAGCAGTAGTTAATGAATAATTTTAATCTAGATCTTTTTAACAAAGCAAATTACATAATTTGAAAAAATATATCATCATCAAAAATAGGAAACTGTAACCAGTGAGATGATGTCGTGATTTCCAGTTCACACTGGAGTTCCAAGGAGCCTGCCACCACTGCTGCCATCTGTGCACACAGTCCTGCCTGGGGCTGCAGCCTGGGGTCAGGGGACAGAGAGGTGTCAGGAGCACCTTCTCTCAGGTTGGCAGAGGACTACAACCCAGTTGTGCTCCCTAAAGATAAAATCCCCAGATGCCCAGGAGACTGCTTCTTCCTATCACCCACATCTTTGACACCTATCAATTACAAAGTTTTCTATCAGCCCATTTCCTTTCATCCACTCAACTCTCTATCTCTTTTACAACCCTACTTTTTGTAAGGATATATCTCTTATAGATTAGAAAGTTCATTAGAAGGTATGTATATTCTTCCCGTAACCCACAGATACGTCTGAAAATCTACGTCCCTTAATCAGGATCTATAATATTTTCTTAATGGAGTAGTTTATGGCTTAAACGAATATTTTTGTATTTGGCTTCTAAGGAATAAGTATATTATCCACATTATCAGTCACAGCAAGTATATTATCTGTTTTCTCTGCATGTAAATTAATTTAAACAGAAACAGAACACAAATATTGTTTACAAATAATTATTTCATGAGATTAAAATAATTTAATCCCATTTTGTTCATATTCACCAAAAAAATTAAACATTTCTTTTTCTCTGCTCAATAATATAAGCTTTAATCTTAAAAGAGATTTCTTATTTCATAAGCCTGTAAAAAAGTTTAATAGAATTGGGCATTAAAAACATGTGTTTTTTCCATTGGAAATCACTGCACATGTAAACTTGGCACTATGAGGGTTAGAAAGACTGATTCAGTTAAGTGATTTAACAGCAAAACAAAACTTAAAACAGTTGACAGTACTTATTTTATTGTTAACTAAAAAAGAAAAAAATAGAAAGTTGGCATAAAATGCTTTTAATAAATACACTCTGTTTTTATTCCTGATTACAATTAGTTAGGTGGTCACTTAATGTGAGCTAGAAACAACGTTCCAGCTCTGTTCATGAAAGGAAGGTAGACCTAGCTGCTATGGATGCTGAATTCTTAATGCACTTATTCTGTACACCATGAAATACAAGCCCATCACACTGCCTGTGGCTACACTCATTTAATCCAAAAAGTTTTGAATGCCTGCATGTAGCAGACATAGGTATAGCAAAGAACAAAATACTAGAACATTCTAGAGGGGGAAGGTATACAATAAACAGGTTCAGAAATTCATGCAGCAACTAGAGCTGGTAAAAGTGAAAATGAAAAAGGTTAAAAAACAGAAAAAAGAAAAAGGCCACCACTGGAAGACCTGAGACCCAAGAGACAGAGACGACTCCATCAGAGCGGAGAGTTCAGGAAGACCACGGGAATCGGGCCTGGCCTGCTAGGGGGAAAACAGCAGGGAAAAAGAAAGGTGGGAACGAGGTGAGGCTCCTCCCGACCATGAGGTCTGGAGAAAGTGGCCAGAGCTCAGCTAGCAATTTACTTTTGTTCCAAGTTTTATGATGAGACACTGGAGGCTTTTCCAGGGTCAAGACAGGACATGCTATAGATGGCAGCTCAGGTCCTCTGGGGGAAGAGGGACTCAGACTGTGAGGGCAGGGCAGACCCGAGGCCACCAGGAGAACACTAGGGCAGTTCCCACCAGAGTCCCATTCTGCAGCATGTCCTCACGGACWCGAGGGCAGACCAGAGTGGGAGGACGGAGACCTTGGAGGCAAAGCCACGTGGAGGTGTGTTAATATCCACAGAAGCTAAAATTCTTTCCCTTCCTTCTCCCCCACCACGTGTTACCCTGGACCGGGTGGAGTTAACGGAGAACCCAGGCTCTCCAACATGTGGACATTCTGGTCTAGAAGCCGCAGTGTGCAGAGCTGCCTTCTGTGTGCCAGCACACTTTAAAATGCTCCATTAGAAGGTCTCAGAACTCTCCAGAAGGGAGGAAAAGAAGCCACAGAGGCTGTGGGCCTTCAGATGAACCACTATGGGCAGGAAGGAAGCTCCACCCTCCCCACACACTGTGAAGAGGTACTTGGCAAAGGACAGGATCCACCTCTCATGGGAGAACAGTGGAAAAGGGGAGCAACCAAGGAGGAGACACCTACTGACTTTACAGAGGATTTCAGGTAGAGGCACAAGGGTAATAAGACTGTGTTCTTGGGTGACTGTAACAACAGTTGCTCATCCGTGTTTACATCCAGAATTCAAAAGAACGGAGTGGCTGGCACTGTTTTCTCTCTGTCCTGGAGCTACAAGGTAAGTGCTTTTAAAAAGGTCTCTGGGCACTAGGTGTCTCGTGGCCACAGCAGAGCCCTCTGAGGTGTCCCAGCCTCCTCAACGCCAACTGACACTTTACAACAGGAAAAAGTAAGAAATGCAGCCCAGGTGTAAAGCAGTGACTTCACACCAGGTATGGCAGCTTGGGTCCTAACCTGAGGCAGATGTCACACTCAGGAGAATCCAGAGGGGCTACAGGAAGGGACCATCCACAAACGTGTTGGCTGGCTGGGTTAAGGAAACTGGGAAGAGGGAAAGAYTGAGGGGTCAATAACAGAGGGGAGGTCCCACTTCTGAAGAGACGAGGACAGGAGCAGGCGCCAGACCCAACCTGGGCCTGGTTTGTAAGAGATTCCAGCCCCTAGCTCTGCTGCACCACAGGCCAACAGAGTCGAGGCCAGGGGAGGAGACACAACTTTCCACCTCCAGCCCTCCTGTCTCCTCACTGCCACCCCAGTTGAGCTACCCAGCACACACTTGAAATTGCAACTATTTAAATATGAAACTACATTACTTGTTCATGTATCAATATGGCACAGAAATAGAAAAATGGTTTTTTATATTTCTTTTATTTTTAGTCGTAGATGAACACGATACCTTTATTTTATTTATTTATTTTATGTGGTGCTGAGGATCAAACCCAGTGCCTCAGATGTGCTAGGCAAGCACTCTACCACTGAACCACAGAAAACCCCAGCCCAGAAAATATTGTTTTTAAGCCAAAATTTTTACTTATCTAAGAAAACTCTTGCCATTAGATCTTCAGACTCAGCTTAAAGTGTCTGGGTAGCACAACCAAAACTGTTACAAAAAATAGGGGGAAAAGAAATTTTTAAAAAGCATGTCCTGCTTGTTTATCTTGGAATGCTCATATACAACTGATCAAAGACCGAATTTCTTTCTTTCTTTTTAACCACTTGGATATTTGATGTCAGTATTGACATTTAATTGACAAATTCTCTAACTTAATATTGATTCCTTGAAATTTATTTTTTATTACCATACTCAAAAGCTTACTGCTATGTAGCACAGACCAGACTCCCAATGTGAGGTGTCCCAAGGACAGCTGGAGTAGGCCAGGAAGGGGGGCTCCAGGGACTCAGCAAACACCTGTCTCCTGGGGGTGCAGCTGGGACATTTTCTTAAGGAAATGTCATCTACCCCATTTTAATTCCTCTATTTTCTTTTAGAATAGTGATATGTAATATTTGAGAAAAACAAGGTTAAAACCTTTCTCCCTTCAGTTATTATTTTAATGATTCTTCATTTTGTTTGTAAATCTATCTTTGAGGAATTTTAAATCACCAAATTGAGAAATTTAAATAATGTTTGCAATAACTACGACACATCGTGTCCTTACTAATTTAGTAAGTATTAATTAGACTGAGGATAAAGCGGTTTCTCTGAAAACATTGTGAAGACCTACAGAATCAAAACCAGAGAAAGACTTTAGAATCTGTTTCCAATGACATGAACAATGACTCTTCAATATCAACACAAACATGTTTAGAGTGACTACCTCACTAAAACATACTTTAAGTTCTAAACTCTTGATTTCGTAGAACCCCCTAAATGCTGATTCTTTTAAAAATCATTAAGAGAGGAAAAGAAATCATATCTGAATGGAAAATTAATCTTGAGCAAATGTGCACCTTTTCAAGGGATCTGCCATTATTAAAACTTGTGTCAGARCTCTTCCTTGAATCAAGAAACCTTCCTTTGGAAACCCAAGTACAAGTAACTTGAAATCAAATGAAGACATTCAGATTTATTTTGGAACCTGGTTTCCCCACATTCAAGTTCTTCTGTTTGAGCACAACAGAACTTGCAGAYGGGTCCTCCCATGTTTACTGCAGTAGGAAAGACTGAT